TTTTGCAAAAGTTTAGTTTTTCTTACTAAATGGTTAATGGTTTTCCTTAAGAAGTCTGTAATCCAGAGTGATGATAAATTCCCTGCTAGGTAGATTCTTTGTTATTCTCAAAGAACAAAATAAGAAGGTAGTGGTAGAGAGACACATTTGAGTAGGTCCAAATGTGTATGTGTTCTTGTGTTGGATCAAGCATTCCTGTCTTGCATTTTTAAAGTGGCAGTTTTTATATTTTGAGCCAATGCCTCAGATCCTGATATATCCCCTTATCATATGCATTTTGTAAACATTTTTTTAAAAACCCTCTTCTTTTACACATTCTTTGTTACATTATGGAACACTCTTATGCTCTAATTGGTGTGAGCATGTATATGATGAGTTCACCATGTTTTTCTGTTGTTTTCCCTCTAATCTGACCTAACAGGAAGCTCCTGATGTGTTGAAGTGCCTTGTAATCCACAGTGAAGCTCTGTGATTTGTCTTACTGAGCTCTAGACTTGAAAGATTCTTGTTCCTCATTCAGAGGTTGCTCCTTTTCTAACAGTATCCCTCACGGATTAATTCCCATCTTAATTTGTCTCTGATAAAATACCCGATATGTCACTGAGGTGGGGCACTAGGTAAATCTGAGTTGTTCTGGGAATTTAACGTTAACAGTATTTGTATGATGAAAGGGATCGCTAAACTTCAAGTCAACAGTGGGATTTTGTAATTAAAAAGCTAGCATCTAAGTTCCAAACGAAAGTGGGTTTGCCTTACTACCGATCTCTCTCAATGTTCTTCCATTTCTCCTTTTCTTGCAGAGCATTTTATCAAGAGCCTGCCAGAATACCACGTGGTGGGCCCAGTTCGAGTAGACGCCAGTGGGCATTTTCTGTCCTATGGCTTGCACCATCTCATCACGAGCAGCAGGAGGAAGAGAGATTTGGATGGCTCAGAGGACTGGGTGTACTACAAAATTTCTCATGAGGAGAAGGACCTATTTTTTAACTTGACAGTCAATCGAAGATTTCTTTCCAATAGCTACATCATGGAGAAAAGATATGGGAACCTCTCCAATGTTAAGATGATGGCTTCCTCCGCCCCCCTCTGCCATCTCAGTGGCACGGTTCTGCAGCAGGGCACCAGAGTTGGGACGGCGGCTCTCAGTGCCTGCCATGGACTGGTGAGTATGGGCACTGGCCTTTCCTTCCTCTGCCCTGGCCCCTAGAGCCTCAGCCGGTGACCTACTACCAACAGATTCACAGATGCACTGATATATGGGAGTTAAGCCCCTGTGATGTGATGATCCTGGCCTCCAGAGGGGTTGGTGAGAAAGTGTTTAATAAATAATAGATCAACTTGAGAGGTACAAAGAGTAAGGTCACTGAGGGTTCAGAGGAGGCAGACAGAACTCCAACCAGGAATATTAGGACAGGGTTGGAGGGGGAAGAAAAGGAAAGATTTGAGTTTGGTCTTCAGCCTCTGAGGCAGCCCTGAGGGTATTGTTGACTAACTGGCTGGGCAGCATATTTTGAATGAGCAGAACTTAGATTTGGACTGAGTGAGAATGTTACGAATAATGAGGGTGTTAGCAGCTGCTGTGATGGAATAGTTGACTCTGTGTGCTTCATAATCAGACTACATGAGGAAACCTTGGGCGGTCAGTTGGTCCCTTTGTGCCTCTGTTTTCTCATCTGTAAAATGGAGATAATAATAGTACCTGCCTCATGGAACAAGGTTTGGCAAACTATGAACCATAGGCCAAATGTGGCCTCCCTCTTGTTTTTATAAATAAAGTTTTATTGAAAGGCAGATATATTATGTGTTTACAGATCGTCTACGGCTGTTTTCGACCTGCAACAACAGAGCAGAGTAGTCGGGGTAGGTACTGTGTGGCTGAGGAACCGCACAATATTTGCTACCTGGTCTTTCAGAAAAATTTTGCTGACACTCTTAATAGGGTATTGTGAAGAGTGTTTAATAAATAGTTAATAATGAATGTTGGCTGCTGTTACTATATTTTATTATTTGAATATGCCAGACACGGGAATATGTTGTTTACTGTGTGGTTCGTGTACATTGTCCCCTTTGCCTTGTTTTAGCAGATGAGGCAGCTTGGAGACGTTGAATAAATTCACCGTGCAAGCTACCTTGGGTTCAAGTCTTTCTATTATTATACGCTATATCTCAAAATGCAGAAACAGTGACAGCCCCACCAACAACTGCAGGGCAAACAATGCTCAGGAATTCTGCTGAGATTTTTTGAGGTGTGTGTTTAGGGAGTGAGTGAATGCAGGGGAAAGGATCCCAGAGTCCCGAGGGTGGTTATGGAGGAGTCCATTTTTTCGGCCTTGGCACCTGTGCCAGGGCTGGTTTGTTAAGCAAACCTTCTAGTGGCACTGGCATTCCTACAAAAGGCACTTGTTCCAAATTTTTCCATTGTTACTGCCATTTTGCTAAGAATTTCTGTACTTTGTAATTTAGGGCTCTGTTTATCTTGTATCTGTAGAGTTTGGCTTTGCTAGAATACTGTGAGAAAATTCATATAAAACATTATATAGCAGTTTAAGTTTTCCAAAGAGCCTCTGGGAATGAATTGCATTTTACAATAAAGTCTTGCTTTGCCTCTTTGTGTAAATTTGGATTTTCATATTAGGTATTTATCATTTTCTCCTAATTAGATCATACCATAAAATCAAGAATGGTGAATGGTTTTCTATTTTCCTTTTCCTCTTATCTCCGGGCTTTACAAGCGGCTTAGTTGAGCTGCAGAACATTTTCCAACTGTCAACCTCTAGGCTTGCTGTGGACTCACATCACATCTGCCCTTTGCAATCTTGGCTCTCATTTCTGTGAGACAACTTTGGAAGCATCATGGCACCTGATCCTTTATGGCCAGAACTGAAGAAAGAGCCTTTGATGATGAAACATTATCATGCTCATTAAGCATGAGCACCTTTCCATGGGATGGAGCAGTATGGTCTGCAGACTTGCAGAATCAACATCACATTTAATGGGAGCTCATAACAAAGACAAACCCATGGGCTCCACTTCAGACCTAGTGCATTAGAGTCTCTGGGGATGGGCAAATATCTCTGTGTGTGTGTTTAGCTGCTTTATTGAGATATAATTCACATACACACAGTTAACTCACTTAAAGTTTATAGCTCAATGGCTTTAAATATATTCAGAATTGTGCAACCATAATCATAAATTTTAGAATATTTTCATTAGCCCACAGAGTAAACCTGTATCCCTTAGCAGTTACGTACCGATTTTCCCATTCCTCCAGTCCTAGGGAACCATTAATCCACGTTCAGTCTATAGATTTGCCTGTCTGAAACCTTTGTTTTAATAAGCTCTCCAGGAGTTTCTGATGCCCACTGAAGTTTGAGAAGCCCTGGACTAGAGTAGTCATTCTTAACCCTTGCTCAACATTAAGATTAGCTGGCTAGCTTTAAAAATGGACCCATGTCCCAACCCCATAGCCTAGATGTTCTGATTTAATTGGTCTGAGAGTAGATTCCAGACATCAGCATTTTGTAAGGCTCCCCAGGAGATTCTAAAGTGCAGTCAATGTTGCCAACCACTGGCTTAGCATAAGTGAGTGTTAACAGGTGGTATTTGGTCAATATTACTCTAAAGTAGCAGATCTCCCCAGGTGATTCTAATGAGCAACCAGGGGTACAACCACTGCTCTAAATTGCTCCCTACTTTCATCTTGTGCTTTCTAAGAATTCCATATTGTTTAGCATTATCCCAGGCTTGGGAAGAATACTAGGACCCTTTCAATTTCAAATGGCTTCAAGGAACAAGAGCACTATCATGTAGGCATTACCAGATTCATACAAAGTTCAGGAGCACAAAGTGGTAGTTAAGATGATAGAAAATTTTCACATCCAAATTAGTGAATGATTTTTCTAGAAGAAACACTCCCCTGGCAGGATTACCTTGGAAATTTTTACATATAATTGGATGTTTAATGGATGGTTATTTTAAAAAGGCACCAAAGCCAAATGAGTTTCTTTCCTTTCTGTGTTAGCACTACTTGACTGGATTCAAGTTCATTTGCTTGTGTGCCAAAATTTGCCAGTGTCCACCTAGAGTGGTCCTAGTCAAAAGGCTAGTGGTTGGACTATGTCTGACTTCTGACCACATGTCTAGGGTCTGACATGTAGTGTATTTGTTTTCTCTTTCATCCAGGGCTGACCCTACATTCAAATTCACAGGATGGCAGGCCTAGGATCTGCTGGTTCTAATCACTTCTCCACTTTTAGGGGTAGAAGTAGTACTTGAGAAGTCTTTCTTAGGAAGGAAACACTTTCATGTGGACCAGGACATCTGCCTGTTATTTCTGGGGTGCAAGCCTGGCTTTCTTTGTTTTGGATGTGGTCATTCGAATGAGATGTTGGAGCTGTGTTCTCCTGGAGTTGTCTATGATTTGAATTTGTTTAACAGTTTAGTTGATTTGCTCCATTCTCAGCTTTTTGATGGAGGAACTGTGTTCTTTAATCAGTTAGACTCTGAATTTATCCTCAGGAATGAGAATTTCAGTGGAGGTGGTTTTGGTTTTGCTGTTGCCAGGGGCACTACAGGATTGATTCCAAGTGAATTTGCTGTTAGTATTTCGGTTTAGATTTCTGCACTGGAAGGATAGTGCAAAATGTGAGACTCTACCCTCATGCATAAGATAGGATTGGGGTTCTGATTTTTCATGGGGCATTCAACTTCTGCCAAGCACTTACCCTCTGGACTGTGTACCTGGATCATTAAAGTAATAGTTTTAATTTCTGTTTACAACACATTATTTAATTCCTGTTCCTAGCATTTCTTAGCTCAGGCTTTACTAAAGTGAATACAGTTCTTGGCTTGTCAAAAACTCTAGTCCTAATTCTAGCCCCTGCTGGGAAATTAAATTCTAATTCTATTTATTTATTTATTTATTTATAATTTAAATTTTCCTGAGACCCCCACCGTGGCAGGCCCGACAGCCAGGGCAGGCCGACCAGCCCTCCACACAGTGGGCGTAAATTCTAATTCTTAATCTGAATAGCTAGCTGGCCATGGATCTCTCAAGAGCCATCCAGCTTTAACTCCATCTACTCTCCAGCCTTAAGTTTCCCTTTGGGTGCATTGAGATTTCCATTCTTGTTTGAAACTCAAATATGGATTAAACTTTTGAGAGAGGCATTTATTAGTTATTTTTATGTTAAACTTTTTATTTTGAAATGTTGCAGATTCATATAAAGTTGTAAGAACTAATTCAAAGAGGTTTTAGTATGTATCTTCAACCCAGTTTCCTCTGATGGCAACATCTTACAAAATTATTGTACAATATCAAAACCAGGATTTTAATATTGATATGGTCAAGATGACATACATATTTATCACAAGAATCCCTCATATCATCCTTTTATAGCTGTACCCATTTCTTTCTTGCTGCCATCGCCTCATATTTATATTTTACATTTAAGTCCATAACCCATTTTGAGTTAATTTTTGTGTGAGGTATGAGACTTAGAGGCTCTCCTTCCTCTCCTCCTCCCTCCTTTTCTCTCTTTCTTCCTTTTTTGCTTTGTTGTTTGGATGTTTGTTCTAGCACCGTTTGTTGAAAGGCTATCTTACTTTCATTAAATTGCTTTTGCATTTTTTTGTAAAAAATTAGCTGGATGTATTTTTGTGAGTCATTTCTGAGTCTTAGGTTCTGTTTCATCAATAGCAAACAGTCTTCATAACTGTAGCTATATAATTAGCCTTGAAATTGGGTAGACTGATTACTTCCATTTTAGTCTACTTTTTCAAAATTATTCTAGTAATTCTAGTTTCTCTGTCCTTCCATATACATTTTATAATAATCTTGTCTATAAAATCTTGCTGGGATTTCGATAGGAATTGTATTCAATCTGTACATTAGTTTGGGAAGAATTGACGTCTTTGCTATGTCAAGTCTTGCAATCCATGAACATGGTATGTATCTTGATTTATTTAGATCTTCTTTGATTTTTTTCATCAGTGTTGTGTAGTTTTCAAAATCCTAGCTTTATATCTGTTTTGTTATATTTATACCTAAATATCTCATTTTCTAAGTCCTTATAATTTTAATTTTAGTATTCATGTGCTTATTGCTAGTATATTAACATATAATTAATTTTTGTATGTTTACTCTGTATCCTGTGAATTTTCTAAACTCTCTTATTAGCTCTAAGATGGTTTTATTAGAAGATTCCTTGGGATTTTTTATGTATACAATAATGTCCTTTGCCAGTGGGGCAGTTTTATTTATTTATTTTTCATCATATGCATTTTAATTTCCTTTTCTTGC